CCATTTTTATCATATTTTTTAATTTCCAATTTTTAGTATATGTGCTGCCGAAGTGAGCACAATATTTTTTAATTTCCAAGAGCTCTATTTTGTTCTCACCACCCCTTTTAATAGCATCCTATTCTCGTTCTGTGGATGCAATAGCATTTCTTTTTTCCGAGGATGGTCCAAATGAATCTTTTAGTTGTATTACTGTTGTCTTTTCTTCCTACATAGTCTCAAGTTCCTCTAAGTTGCTGTTTGCTGCGTGTTCATTTTGGTGTCTACCTTTCATGGTAAAGACTTTCCTCAGATGTCTAGAAATCCTTGGCTACCTTGTCACCATAAGACTGAAAAGCTGAAGGAAGCTCTGAATGCAAGGGTGTAGCTTGACAACAGTGAACTTCAGCGTAGGACCATCTACTTGGACCGCCTGGTGGGCAACTCTGGATGTCAGTGCCTTTGAATCCTTCCTCGGGGGCTGGTCAAATTTTCCAGAGAAACTTCAGTCTCCTGCCTGCATTGTGAAGCTCCAACTTGCCCATTTTCCCGGAAGGGGCAGAAAGACTGCAAGGTCTCAGCGGCAGTGTGCACATGGCCACAGAATCCCCTTGCTTTTAGTACAGTGTTCCTGCCTCATCTCTGTCCAGCGCCCCCCAAACTGTAGATCCTCCCATTTACTTCCTCCAAACCTCCCGTCTTTTGTGCAAGGTGGGGAAAAGGTTCCTGGCATCCAGCTATTAATTTTCCCAACACTCCTGATTTTAGCCCCTTCTTCCGCTCTACTTCCACTTGAACCTGATGCTTCCGATTTCCTGGTCTTTTGCAGATTTACTGCAGAGTAAATCAAGAGGGACTCTCGGCTTTCCTCACTACCAGTTTATATTTCCACAGTCTCGAATCTGCGAGATCATTTACCATCTGTCTTTATGCTTCCCAGCTTCCAAAATGTTGTTGCTGTTGAGTCCCTTCTGTTTTGCTTGACTTTGTGGGTTTATGTCTTTTTTATTTAATCCCCTTAAATGTCATGCTAATGGAGTTCTGATAGAGATCCAGGATAAATGTATGTGTTCCATCTGCCATCCTTACTCTGGAGTCACATCTCCAGGAATTTCACACTTCAACTGAGACAGTAGAGACTGGGATTTTCAGGAGCTTTAGCCTATTAATCCTGTTCTTTATTTTTATATGACATTTGATTCTATTAACAGCTTCTTCCCTAAAAGTATACCTCAATGGCATACCAAGGCCCAAGCACTTAGGGCAGTGGGCACCAGAGGCCAACTCAAGGAGCCTATAGATATTTTAAAAGGATACAATGGACTAACAGTCTGTCTGCTTATTATTATCAACCCGTGCCAGCAACAAAACAAGGTCAGTGATAAAACACTCCTTTCTGAAAAATCTTTTGTTAATCTAAGTTCTAAACAATTTCTGCAGCTACTATTGATTTTTAAAAATATATATGGGGGCAACTGACTGGCTCAGTCAGAAGAACATGAGACTCTTGATCTCAGGGTTGTGAGTTCGAGCCCCACGTTGGGTGCAGAGATTACTTTAAAAAAAAAATCTTAAGAAAAAAAATATATAGAATATATATGTAGGCTTTGATACAGCACCTTTCTATGTCTTGTCCTTTAACAAGGAAGTTAATTCAGAGAACACAGAGAATACAGTTGGCCTGTGACACGCACAGACTCAACTGCACACACGTTTCGAGGACACATTTGAAATGGTTCAAATTGTCCCAGCTCACTTGGGCAAAGGGCACATCCCCAACCCCCGAGGTACTACATCTCTCAGCACAAGAGGGATTTGACAAATGGGGCACCTGGGTGGCTCAGTCGGTTGGGCGTCTGCCTTCGGCTCAGGTCATAATCTCAGGGTCCTGGGATCGAGCCCTGTGTAGGGCTCTCTGCTTGGCAAGTCTGCTTCTCCCTCTCCCTCTGTGCTCTCTCTCTCTCGCTCTCTCAAATAAATAAATAAATCTTAAAAGAAAAAAAAGAGGGATTTGACATTAACAACAGCCCAGCTATTGAAAACATGAAGAAGCTGAACTCCAGTTAGCTCAGTTCTGTCATTCTACATGTAATCACTCTCTAAACCTTGCAGAATTCTTTTGGAAACACTTCTTCATGTTTTTCCTTCCTTTCCCCCCCAAAATACAGTAATGTAATTAAAAAGTATTGATCCGTTCCTGTTTTCTTGTTTCATAATGTAAATTTTACTTTTATTTTTAAAAATTTTTTCACTGGCCTGGTTATATAAACAAAGTTCAATTGAAGAAAACGTTCACTGTCCGCTTTCCTTTTCTGGCTATTATTATTATTATTATTATTATTTAAGATTTTATTTATTTATTTGACAGAGAGAGACACAGCAAGAGAGGGAACACGAGCAGGGGGAGAGGGAGAGGGAGAAGCAGAACCCCAATTTGGGGCTCAATCCCAGGATCCTGGGATCATAACCTGAGGCAGACACTTAATGACTGAGCCACCCAGGTACCCCCAGGCTATTACTATTTTAAAAACTCCCCTGCTCCGGGTGTTAAAATCATTGGGTCCCCCGCTGTACCTCATGTATTAAGTTTTCCCGCCAGCACCACTGGCCATTCTACAGCATCTTTATATCACGGAGACAATCCTCTGTCAGCGTTTCCTTTTCCATCTGTTTCTAAATGCAGAGCTTTCCTAGGGCTTGGCATGAGCTCTCTTCTCATCTTTTTATCCTCTTTTCCAGTGTAAGTCAATCCATTCCCATGGTTTTCAATACAATCATAAGGCTGTTGACTCTCTGCACTGACCTCTCTAATCCAGAATTCTCTTCTGAGTTTCAGACCCATGTCCAACTGCCTAATGGACATCTCAGTTTTAATGTCTTCCAAAATCCAATTTCATTTAATATGTCCAAAGCCAAACTCTTGATTTCCAAATCCTCCTGCCTCACTTCCCCTGTCGCTGTCTTTATCATTTTAATATAAGGCACTACCATCAACCCAGCTGTTCAAGCCATTCTTGCTTTTTTCCTGTCTTTGACCAGCATATCCAAAATCAGTGAATCCAGTCAGTTAAAGCTCTAAAATATGTCTTGAGTACATCTGTTTTCTCTCCAATCCCACCAGACCAACTTCATCCCTCACCCGGACCAATACAACTGCTTCCTAACTGGTCTCCTTAATTACACTTCTGGCTTCTCCAAGCCATTCCCTCAAAGAGCAATCAGAGCGATCTCAACATACTTAGACATTTGAGAAACTCCCACATTAAGTCCTTGGCCTGTGGGTAAGAGTTATCATGGCAGGGAAGGCCAAATGGACATCTCTAAAACTGCACCTGATTACATAAAAACAATCACAAACGGGGGGAGGGGGGGAGGGGCGGGGATTAGTGTCACCCTTAAGGATCTCAAGGATACAGGAGGGGTGGTCCCTATCAAGTCTCCATTTAAATCACGGATCTGGCCTCTGCAAAAACTGGAAAGGATCTGAGAAAATGATGATCAATACTGCAAGCTCAACCAAGGAGTAACCCTGATTGCTGCTGCCATGCAAGCATGGTATCTTTGCTAGAGCAGATTGGAGTGGTCTGAGTACATACAAGGTGGCTGCTGACTGGGCCAAATGTGTTATTTTCTACCTCAATCACAAAAAAGGATTAGGAAGCTCACATTTACATGCAACAGATAGTAATGTATATTCATATAACCCGCACACTTACAGAGTCATGTTAATTCTCCTGATATCGGTCAAAATACAGTCTGACTAGATCAGGACCATCTGGATATCCCACAGAACATCACATTGTTCCATTACATCAGATTGGCCTGGGAGCCAAATACGACCCACCTGTTTTTGTAGGGCTCACAAGCAAAGAATGATTTCTACATTTTTTAATGGTTAAAAAAAAAAAGATCAGCTGACTGGGCAGAGCACAAAGGATTTTTAGGGCAGTGAAACTATTCTGTATGGTACTATAATGGTGGATACATGTCATTACATATTTGTCAAAATCCATAGAACACCAAGAGTGAATCATGATGTAAACTATGAACTCAGGGTGATGATGTGTCAACTCGGTTTCATCATTTGTACTAAATGTACCACTCTGAAGGGTGCTGATAGTGGGACAGGCTGTGCACGTGTGGGGGCAGTACTGGGAAATCTCTGTACTTTCCACTCAGTTTTGCTGCGAACCTAAAACTTCTCTAAAAAGTGAATTCAGAAAACAAGGTCAAAATATGAGGAATATTTTGTGATGCGTGAACATTATACGACATTCAAATCTCAGTGTCCATAAGTAAAGTTTTGTTGGAACACAGCCACACCACTCTGGGCCCCTTGTGTCCAATGGCCAGAAGACAAGAAGTCACCATCTTGGTAGGGTAGCTGACCCTGGCCAGCAGGACAAGGTATAAATGCTGTTACACAGTGAGGGTGTTTGAGGAATTCAGAAGATCATGCAGGTGCCTCTTGGTACCCTTTATGACAGCCCACTGTGTCTGTGAATGGACAGGTGCAACAACCTTGGCCTGAGAAGGGTATGGTTATCAGTCTCAGACCCTTCAGGAATGAGGGTTTGTGTCATACAACCAGATAAGCCACTGAGACCAGCAGAAGTGACAGCTAAAGCCCGCTGCAGAACGGCTTGTGGAAGGAAGTTAGGTTGGGATGGAAGAAGGAAAAAAGACCTCTGAGGGGAGGTCAAGGATGGCCTGTGCCTTCAGTGTATTGCTCGCAGTGCATGGCACAGCAGGCCCTCAATAAAAGCGCTGAAGGGACTTTTATTTCCGTCTTTGACTTTACAAGTTTTTGAATGTTTTCATATCCCATACTTTGCTTGAACCTTCCGAAGAAATTTTTCCTATCTCACCGCCTACCTTTCCGCTCACACACGGGGCTCCCCGGCCGCTCCCCTCAGAGTCTCCCTCCCGGGGAAGGCACCCGCCTCGTCCCCGCCCTGCGTCGCCGGTACCCGGGGCGCTCCGCTGCGGACCCGCCCAGATACCCCCCCTCCCCCGCTCACCGCCTCCGGGCTTCCAGGCGCGCCGCGATGCGGAGGCGCCGGGCGTGGATCCGCTCCTGAGGGTTGTCAGAATGTATGGACGGCCCGAGAATCGGGGTGGACAAGTGTTCCTCCTCCTTCTCCTCCAGGACCCCCAGGGGTCCCGGCGGATTCATGACAGTGCCTCCCGCCCCACGCAGCTCCGCCCGGACCACCCGCCAGACCACCGCCCGGTTGCTAACAACAAGCCGTTGCCAGGGAAAGGCAGTCACCTGACCGGCAGCTGGCGTGCGCGCGCGCGCACAGCACCTCAGGCCCCGCCGACCTGCATTTGCAGGCCAGCCTGGGGTTTTATCCTGGAGAGAGAATGCGATTTAGGCTCTACCTTCGCGGGGTGAAAATGACATCAGTTTCATTCAGCACTGTGCAAATAGCGCCTAGCATAATACTTAGTATGTAGTAAGTGCACAACCAGTGTTTGCTGAGTGAAAGAAATGTACCTAGATGTATCTGTATGCTCACTGCAGTTATTCGTAATATTAAAAAACTGGTATGACCTCCAAAATCCATCAGTAGGGGAACTGATAAAGCTTTCATGGGATGGAAAACAATGCAGCAACTAAGAATGGATCTGACCTAGAGAGAGATTAAGATGTATCAAACGAAGAAGAGATGTAACACAATGTGTAGAGTGTGATCCAAGTTCTATTGGAAATATATCTAGTATAAAGGGAAGAAAAATGAACAGAAAATAAGGCTGGTATCAAAGACGTTACTGCCTGTGTTCTCTTCTAGGATCTTTATGGTTTCAGATCTCACATTTAGGTCTTTAATCCATTTTGAATTTATTTTTGTGTATGGTTTAAGAAAGTGGGCCAGTTTTCCCAACATCATTTGTTGAAGAGATTTCTTTTTCCCACTGGGTATTCTTTCCTGCTTTGTTGAAGATTAATTGACCGTATAGTTGTGAGTTCATTTCTGGGTTTTCTATTCTGTTCCACTGATCTATGTGTCTCTTTTTGTGCCAGTATCATAATAGTGTTTTGATCACTACAGCTTTGTACTATAACTTGGAAGTCTGGAATTGTGATGCCTCCAGCTTTGCTTTGCTTTTTCAAGGTTGCTTTGGCTATTCGGAGTCTTTTGTGGTTCCATACAAATTTCGGGATTGTTTGTTCTAGTTCTGTGAAAAATGCTGTTGGTATTTTGACAGGGATTGCATTAAATGTGTAGATTGCTTTAGGTAGTATAGACAGTTTAACAATACTTGTTCTTTAAATCCATGAGCATGTAATGTCTTTCCCATTTCTTTGTGTTGTCTTCTATTTCCTTCATCAGTGTTTTATAGTTTTCAGAGTACAGATCTTTTACATCTTTGGTTTGGTTTATTCCTAGGTATCTCATTGTTTTTGGTACAATTGTAAATGGGATTGAGTCCCTTCTGCTGCTTCATTACTGGTGTATATAAATGCAATAGATTTCTGGGGTGACTGGGTGGTTCCATCAGTTAAACATCTGACTCTTGATTTTGGCTCAGGTCATGATCTCAGGGTTGTGAGATCAAGCCCCGTGTCAGGCCCTGAGCTGGACATGGAACCTGCTTAAGATTCTCTCTCACTCTTCCTCAGCCTCTACCCCCGCTCCCTCTCTCTAAAAAAAAAAAGAAAGAAAAAGAAATGCAAGATTTCTGTACATTGATTTTGTATCCTGCGTGTTGTATGCAAGTACACTGTATTTTTACACCTGAAACTAATAGTACACTGTATGTTAACTGACTGGAATTTAAATAAAAAATAAAAAACCAAAGGGATACATACACCCCGATGTTTACAGCAGGACTATCTACAATAGCCAGATTATGGAAACAGCCCAAGTGTCTGTCCCATCTACTGATGAATGGATAAAGAAGACGTGGTGTGTGTGTGTACACACACACACACACACACACACACACTGGAATATTACACAGCCATAAAAAAAGAATGAAATCTTGCCATTTGCAGCGACATGGATGGAGCTCAAGTATTATGTCAGAAAGACAAATACTGTATGATTTCATTCACATGTGGAATTTAAGAAACAAAACAAACAAGCAAAGGGGAGGGAAAGAGAGAGGTAAACCAAGAAACAGACTCTTAACTATAGAGAACAAACTGATAGTCATCAGAGGGGAGGTCAGTGGAGTGATGGAAGAAATAGGTGATGGGGATTAAGAAGGGCACTTGTGATGAGCACGGGGTGTTGTATGCAAGTGTTGAATCACTTATATTGTACACTGCATGTCAACTAACTGGACTTCAAATAAAAACTTGGGGAAAAGAATTAAACTGTAGAAATTAAATTAATATCCGTTATTTCCTAAATTTACATTGTTTTAGTAAAGCTTCTGATTTGGGGGAAAAAAACACAAAGTAGTTGGTATCTCTGGGTGTGGGTCTATGGGTGGTTTTTATTTTCTAGTCTACAAAAACTTTACAAATAACACAAATCACTTTTGATGTAATAAAAAAATAAAGTTTATTTTTTTTAAAGAGTGGTGACAGGAGTTCCTGAAGAAACTGCAGCAGGCAAATGTCACAGGTGAGAGGGATTTGTGGGTGGGTTGTAGGTGTAGGTCCACCTTGATGATCCACAAACATCCAGAGTCTGGTCCTCACTGGTAGGCAATACTCCAAAAAGTAGAGCTGCTTTGGAGAATTGACTTACACTAATAAGCTCACGAAAGAACAAGAGGATACCCTAATTTGAGCAGGAAACTACAACTGACACACAAGCATGTGTATGCATGACCTGTGACCAGCACATGTCTGTGGATAATCTACAAAGGAAATCAAACTATAATTGGCAAGTTTCTTGATGTTGTACGATTGACTGCAACGAACTGAGGGGCCCACAGTGGGTATAACTTGCCACAAAGACTCGACAGTCCTTCCATCCCATCCCTGGGTAAGTTTGGGATGATAAACGCAAACCCTTCTGGATATATGGGCTTTCTCTGCTATGCTACAGGCTCGCCATCTACTTTCAGTATATAGCCTTTTTCCAGAAAAATGATACACTGACTAGATTTTAGTATATTAAGTCAAGTCACATACTTAATTCCACATCCGTAAGATTACACCAAATCATCTTAATTGGGGTTTGGGAATTCATCAAACATTTACATAATTTCTTGGCTTATTCCTGTCTCCCAAATTTGTGTGAACTTTACTAATAGATTCTCAGAAGGCAATCTTCTTTTACTCATTTCAAGTTATTTTTAGAACTTCCCCACCCATCATCTTCATGTTTTGACTACCAAAGGTACAAAGGACAGAACAGGAAAGGGAAGGAAGAAGGGAAGTGTCAAGAGTAGGTCATAAGGCTTAGGGAAGGGTTCAAAGTTATTAGTAGAAACCGAGGACCTACCTTAGACCACACACTGTGCTAAATACCTCCTTGCATCATTCATAGCACATACGCATGACTGCGGTAATATTACTAATCCCATTATACAGGTGAAGAAACTGAGGCTCAGAAAAAAATAAGTAACTTGCCCCAGGTTGAAGCCTGCCAGGCTGAACATGACTAAGAAACAGTCATGGCATTAAAAGCTTGGGAGGTCTTGAGAAACTTTCAGAATGAAAGCAAAAAGAAAAAAATGGAAGGAGCAGACATCAATTTTTCTTTCAGGAAACTTGTGAGCAAGGAGAAAAGATGAGAGCAGGAAGAAGAGCAGGACATTTTGGAGGCACACGTCTACGTTTGGACAGACCCAAGCTGCTTACCTAGGACGCCCCTGCTATGCCGTCAGGCACGCTCTCGGTGTTGGAGGTCTGCAGATAGAAGGGCAGGGATAACTGCTAGGGCAACCAAGAGGCTGGGAGGGACAGGGGATTATGAGCACACTGCTGGAGAACTAGCCTGGGTCACAATATGGACATTTTCTCCTCACCTTCTTCAAACCTGTTACAGAAAAAAAAATTAAATGCCTGCTGCCAGAGATCAATTCTGATGTAAAAGACAGGAAATATTCTCAGAAGCAATGTTAGAAAATATGAGGTTTTTCTTTTTTTAAGATTTTATTTATTTATTTGAGAGAGAGAGAGCGAGAGCGTGCATCGGGGGGGAGGCGCAGAGGGAGAAGCAGACCCCATGCTGAGCAAGGAGCCCGATGCGGGGCTCGATCCCAGGACTCCAGGATCATGACCTAAGCCAAAGGCAGTCGCCTAACCCACTGAGCCACCCAGGTGCCCGAAAATACGAGGTTTTTCAATAAAGCTTATTGTTTAAGTGTACCAAGTGTGGCCATTCGGTTCTTGTGGAATTAGCCTGGAAAATTAACATTCTTTCTATAGGAAAATGTTTTTAAGTATGAGACAACCACTTTACAAACAATTTAAGTGTGACCCAGTTATCATTATACACTGCCCAGTACCCAGTTCTGGGGAAGTCAAGAGGAGGACATCACGAACAGCTGTTACTGCCACCTGCCTGGTACCCTGCTTTCTGAAACAAGGCACAGGATTATAGAACACCCAGGAGCAAGCAGGCTGATCGCTTTTTTTTTTTTTTTTTTAAGATTTTATTTATTTGAGAGAGAGAGGGAGAGAAAGAGAGAAAATGAGTGGGGGGAGGGGCAGAGGGAGAAGCAGGCTCCCCACAGAGCAGGGAGCCTCACTGGGGGCTCCATCCCGGGACCCTGAGATCACGACCTTAGCCAAAGGCAGACACTTAACTGAGCCACCCAGGCACCCCTGGGCTGATCATTCTTTAAACAAAACGAAAAAACCATTTAATGTTTTGCTCTAAAATAATGAATAACTCTGAGGCAAGTGGCTGGACATTATTTTTCTCCTCCTAGCTCCCTCCCCTCTTGTAATTACCAAGGAAAAACAAAGAAGGCAATCCGAAAACAGTTAAAAGGATTTAAAAATTATTTACTTTTTACTTTTATTACAATAAATATTTATCAATAATAGAGTTAAACAATTTTAAATTAAAACCTACTGCATTCCTTTTGGGGTTCACAGCAGCAGAAATAAACATAAATCCAGTTGAAAGGGCAAGGCTTCCAGAATCCAGTGGCAAGAAACAGTCAGGTCTTGATTATCTGGGCTACCAACAGGGAACAGTACTACCAATGATGCAAAAGTAACGGTGAAATGCATAGTTGTAATCTATTTGTGCATCAAGT